TGAGGTGTCATGATAAGCATATTTTTGAGTGTTACCATTGATGCACATAGAATGTTTTCTTATACTTCATTTAGTGTATTTCAAAACATCCTGTAGCATATCATTTGTCATAAAAATGATTTCCAACATTGAATCACTCTGCTGGTGTTCCATCCAATAGGTTTCATCCCTGGCAAGAACCTAATAAAATTTCTGACCTAACACTGGATTGCTTAGATATACATAAACCATTTTGTATTTAAAGTAGTAAAATATTTATTTACTGTTTTCCTCCTCCTCTGAATCAAGGTCTTCATTTTGTACTTCTCTATTTGTCATATCTGTCATATCTTGCTCTCTTCTTTGGCTTACGTGATCCAAGTCATCATCAGTAGTCATGTCACCTGATGACTCACTTTCAACCTTCTCCCAACGTTGTAAAAGCAGATTTTCATGTGACATTATACTGCATTGGGCGAATTCATTGCTCACACCTGGCCACCCTTCAGCTGCATAGCCATCCTTCTGAGTTTGCCCTTCCTCATCACACAGCTGGTGTCTCTCCAACGGAGCATGTTTTATCCTCATCTGGTTCCAACCTTCCTTCTTTCTAAGCTGTGTAACATTTACAGCCATCCACAGTCAGATGTGCAGTCATTTCAGTGAACAGAACGTGTTTTCCATGGCTCATCTCAGTTTTTTTACAGACATTTTGTCTGGCTCATAAAGTTAGTGTGGTCAGATCCATGTCAACCTTCACTCCTATTGCTCTATTCTGGCAACAGCTGGGAGAGGTCAGCTGGGTCTCTTCACTCTTCTCCTACTGGGGCCTCCCATGTTCCCCCCACTTCCAACTTCTCTTTAGTGAGGTTTCCTTCACTGCAGCAGTCCTTACAGATATCCCGGTCTCTCATCTACATCCAGCTGAATGTGGCCATGTCCTCACTTATTTCTTCATATTTACTCATTCTTGTCAACCTCTGGGCCCAAGATCAGCAGATGGCGGGAGGCCCAGTGAGAGGTAGGAGGCACTGCATCCCTCAGTGGTAGGAGGATCAGGAGTCCTGGGTCTTTTCCCTCACTTTCTTATCTTTTAAGTCGAGATGTTGTTTTCTTGATGTGGGCAAAGGAAAGATGACTCCGGGATACTACAGCACTCTGGTTTCAAACTGTCATCTTTCCACAACAGCTGTGTGATTTTTTGTTAAGTTACTTGCTTCTAGAAGCTTCATTACTCGGACACAGAAGGTGTTGGTTAAACCAGCCCCAAGCATAATTCCCAGGGTTTTCAGGATCCTGAAGTTGGACAACATCAGTGCTGGCCAGAAGAAACCCTTAAGGGCTGGGCAGCCCAGCTTCGCCTGGAGGGGCGGTAAGTCCCCACCTCAGGCTGGCCCAGTGGGAAGGGCGGGGCCTCAGTTCCTGCTCCTTTAAATTTTCAATTCCTTAGTCTTCCCTCAGAAGATAAGAGGATATTCCAAACAATTTATCTTGATCATCTTGATTTCTATGCTATTATTAGTTTATATTTTAATTCCATCTCACAAAAAATAGTTATTGTTTCAGCAATTTGTCTTCATATTCATTGCTTGCTTTCTTTCTTTTTTTTTTTTTTTTTTTGGTATGAGGAATTGAACCCAGGACCTCACATTTGCAAGGCAGGTGCTACGCCACTGAGCTAAATCCCCAGCCCTCATTGCTTCCTTTGCTCATAATACTTTCTTGTATCTTAGATCTTCCACCTGGGGTCATAATCTTTATTTTTGAAGTTTGTTAGGATTCCTTTTATGTGTGTGTTGATCTTTCGTGGCTAGAAATGTCTTTATTGTGCCTATTTCCCCTCCCTCTCTCCTCAACTCTTTTGATTTTATTTTGTCATACTGGGGATAGAGCTCAGAGGCTCATGCATCTAGACAATCACCTAATGAGGAGCTGCATTCCAGCCCCACTTCACTTTTGGAACATTTTTACCAGATATAGGATTCTATATTAATTTTTCTTAGCACATTAAACTATTAAAATATTTTTGGATTTATTAATTTTCACTATCAAGAATTCCATTCTTAGCTGTGCACAGTGGCATATACCAGTAAGCCCAGACTATGAGAGGCTGAGGCAGGAGGATCATGTTGAGCCCACCCTGGGAAATTTAGATTCTGTCTCAAAATTAAAAACAAACAAACAGACAGTGATATATGTGCACCCATGTTTAGAGCAGTGCAATTTGTCATAGCTAAATCTTGGAAGCAATCCAAATGCCCATCAGTGGAGGAATGGATAAAAAAAGATGTGGTATTTTTAAACAATGGAGTTTTACTCAGCTATAAAAAAGATAAACTTGAGGCTTTTATAGGTAATTGGACACAACCAGTGGGATGTAGATGAGTGTAAAGGCTCCAAACTCAATCCCTAGGACAGTCATTGCTTAACGACCTACTTGTTTAAGGACCGTTTGGATTTCAGACAGAGGTGTGCTGTTCAGACTTAGGACATGCCGCTGAACCCGTGACCCGTCTTTTTTATTGTTGTTGTTGCAGTTCTGTCCATCTTGTTTATAGGGCCTCAATGTCTTTTTTGTACAACACACCTTGTTTATATAGTACTGTAATTTTTGCTCATTGTGCTGTATGGTACATAGTTTTGTGTTGTTATGCATTTCAATACTGGAAATGAGAGTTATGCAAATAAAAGCAAAGTCATCAAGTTGAACTTTCCTTTAACCATTTCTTTGTTCTGAATATTATAATGTACATCCTATATATGACACCTCACGTAGTGACAACAACAACCTAATCACAGGAATGGATCTCCACTGTTAAACGAGGAATGTCTATACTAGTTTTTAAAAAGCACATTCTTAGTATAATTGTTTTCCAATTTAAGTGATGTCAGTGTCATGATACTATCACAATACTGTCATGATCTCTTTGCCTTTGGACTCTGTTGAGTGTGTGTGCCTGGGTGTGCCTATCTTCACATGCATATGTGCACTCATATTAGGTATATGTTCACTGCGATCACAAGTTGTTGGACTCTATAAAGCTGAATATTAATGTGTGCAAAACTTATTATATTCCTCATCTTCTCTTTTCTTCCAAATTCTTAATTTTATGCCAGATTTATCACCCTATCATCTTTGGTTTTTAACTTGTTTTTAGTTTTTCCCATCTCTATTTCTGTTTCTTGGTAATCTCTTCAGATCCACCTGAATAAATAAGGAAGTACTGGTTAGGCTTAGAGAAGAGGGTGTTCAGTTGAGCCAGCGTTTCACAGCTGGGCCCAAATACAATTTAAGATAGGAGGGCCTTGTCCAGGCACATCTGGCTAGTGGGCCTCCACTAGACCACAGGCTGGTGGAGCAGGGCTGCTCACTGCAGGGTGTGGGGAGTAGAGCAGGGTAGCCCGCTGGACCCCACCCACAACAGCATGTTCAGCCAGGAACACTGGAGGACTGGTCCACTGATGAGTTGGGCAGCCCAGAATCAGCCGCCTTTCCAAAAGCTCTTAATCCAGTTGGGCTAACATCACGTTTAACTTGGGGTGCTGAGTACAGTCAACCTATTCAAATCAACCTCACTAATCTTTTATCTTCAGCTTTCCCCAATGTTTTAAATGCATTTGGGCACATAGTGTGTTTTGCTTCACGCGCTATTTCAGTTCCACAGGACTGGCAATAGAGTTCAACACTTCACTGTGAGCTATGCATTTAGGCACAGCTGCTGACATCTGTAAAAAGACGAAACAGCATGGACTTCATGGATGCTTTCTACTCTAATTGTCAGTGCTTATATTTTAATATTTGTTATATTTATGGGTGCTAGCATGCAACCCGGGCCTCACGCAGACTGGGAAAATGCTTCATCACTGAGTGCTGTCCTGCCCTGTACTAAACTTCTGTTTTACTTACCAGCATTTGCCTATGAGACTCCATCTCTGCGAGTTCAGGCACTTACGCTCACACGTCTCTCTGTCCCTGTCTCCCCTTCTGAGCTCTTTAGCATTTCTGTGCACACGAGTTTTCCACTGCGCTCACCTCTGCTTTTTGAGCTGCTGCTCCATCTCCGCTGTGTGGACTTCTTCCTATACGTTTTACAAACCAAATCTTCACGTTTGAGGATGTCTGTTATCATCCTATTAAATGAAAATTTGCATTTGTCTGAGATCCTTTGGGTAAGCTTTTATCCCCGGAGGAATGTGTTGCAGACGTTTACATGTCCTTGGGAGATGTGTCGGGTATTTTTCTGTTTGGAAAAGAGGGCATCGCTTTTATGCTGTTTAATTTGCAGTGGGATCGGGGCAGTCCTGGGTCCTGGACTGTTTGCGGCCCCAGGAGAGAGCAGTGGCGCAGTCCGATCCCGGCCGCCTGTTACTGTCCTTAGGACGCGGAGTCACCGATGAATCCGCGGGGCCTGGTCTTCCTCACAGGAGGGCCTGTGACATCCAGTTTCGGCCAACTAACCACAAAGCCAAAAACATGTGCTCTTCCACCCTTGTCACGGAAAGCCCCCGGCTCCCGCTTCCGGCAGGTCCAGCGGGACCCGAGGCCGCAGCCCGGAGGAGCGCTCCCCGGCACGTGCGCCCCGCGGGGCGTGCGCGCGAGGCCCCCAGGCCCCGCCCCCGGCCCCCGCGGACTCCCCGGCTGCGAGGGAGGCAGGCCGGACGGCGGGTACAGCCCGGGGACCGCGGTTTCCGTTGCGGGCCTCCCGTCCCCTCCCACCGCACCGGTGCCGGGCGCCTTGTCTACCCGCCCTGGGTCTTGTGCGGGTTCCCCCGCCCGGAGAGACGCTCGCCGTGAGGTCTCCCGTCAGAGCCTGAACGCGGGCCTCCGCAGAGCGGCGTCGGCACTGGTTTCTCGCCACCCCGACGCAGCCTCACCAGGTCCGTCGCCCGGGCGCCCGCGACGGCTGCCGACCGCGCTGTCCCGGAGCCCGCAGCAGGCGGGGCGGCTCGTGCCGAGAGGGCGCGCTGGGCTCGGCTGTCCGCGTCCAGGAAATAATGCTTGTGCTTTTTACGTCCAGCTTCTTTCGTAATAAAAGGCGAGACCCGCACACCACCCGCTGACCGCCATGAGCGAGGAGGCGGACGGGGAGGAGCGCCGCGCGCGGCCCAGGTACCGCG